TTTAATATCATAATATTATAAATATATCATTTTGCATTCAAGAACATGTGAAAAGGAGAAAACGCGACCTCTTAAAGGCGGCCAAACCTCTCAAAAGCAGCCAATCTTCATTGTTTTCAGTCTTTTACTGCTTTATTTTTTGTGCCCAAAAAAGGACCCTGAAGAAAAGATCAAAATGCACTGCCTGCCACCAATACAAAACGTCAAAATGGTAGTATATCTTTGAGAAGATAAACCTTTTCTTAATGTACGACTTGAAAAGGACAATACGAAATTTATCCTTATATGAAAAAGGACAGTGCATTCACATTCTTATCCAATAATTATCTCCTAAGAGATCATTTCTTTCTTTCTTTTCTATGTTCTCACTAGGAGATCATTGGCCGTTGATATTGTATGGCATGATATAATAATGTTGCTGGTTGAGCTGGACAGCACACATATATGTTCAACTGAACCTCTAGGACATTCAAGAAACAAACAATCTGTTACCCTTTTCTTTGATTTGATTATTGAAGCCCACTTGGTGTTAGGTTTAGTTTGTAAAGTATTTATTTATTGTAGAAGGTTTTTCTTATTTTTACAGAAGATGGTATTGTAAAGGTCGAAAAATATTAAACAAAGTACCATGTAATTTGGATTATTTTGAATTATATAATTCTAATTATTAAATAAAAGTAAATTTCTTGATATCAAAAAGTTTTTTTTTCTAATAATTTATGTTTTACGATCCAATGTAATTTAACTTATAAAACAAAAGTTTAAAATAAATTAATAAAGTTTTCTCAAAATACTTTTATTTTCTAGAAATTAATTTCAATTTTCAATTGACTTGGGGTAGAATTTGCATGTTGTTAACTTTAGAAAAATGAATTTTATTACAAGTTAGAAAAGGAGATGCAATCCTTACGTGCCGATTGGGTTGAAGACTTTTAATTTCCAAAGAAAAAGAGTATTGATGTACACGAGATTATTGAGTAATATATTTAGGTTCAAAACTCAGTGCGCTCTATATTAGAGAATTTGCAAATCTCTATTGGAGGATATGTTTTGTTTTAAAAAAAATTAAGAAAGAATGAAAAAAGTTTTTGTTTCTCGCTATTTCTATCAAACAAAACATAAAAATAACCTATACAAGTGCAAGTGCATTTTCATTTTGCTTAAGTTTATTATCATCACATTTCTAGAATTTCCTTCATTCTTTCACTTACTTTTATCATACAACATTTCCACAAACATTTCAAATGATTTATTTGTATCTTTTTTTAAAGGAGAATCCGATTTGAAGACCCACAAGTGATCTTCTTCTTTTCAGTTGATCTTCTTCAATTGTGTCTATGTTTGCCTCCCAATTCCAAATCCCAATATATTGATATCTATCTTCTTTACCCTTTTTTTTTTTTCTTTCTTTCTTTCTATTTTCCCCCCATGATATCTATCTTCTTTACCCAAAAAGAGACCATATTTGATGCTTCTTCTAAAGATTGTCATTTTCTCTTTATTTTTTTCCCTCTTCTATAATTATATTTCTGCACAGTAGTTGAATACTACATTCATTCATCTACTTAATTTTTTTTAATACATGACAAGAAATAATTGGCATTGTGTTTTCTATTCTTCCATTTTAGCATATTCACTTCGTAGCAGCTTGTCCACTGCATCATTCTAAACATATAAATCAATAATAGTAGGTAGAAAAATCATTTCTCACTAATATCTATAATCTTCAATTGAATTGCAACTATAATATTCAGAGTAGGTATAAGAATGTTAATATTATTAAGGTTTAGTCATTCATGGTGCAGGATTCTATTGCAAGAAAGTCAGCTAGAAAAAAGCTTTCATTCCTCTTTTTATGCAAGAAATTAAATATGCTTTGGAACTTGGAAGTCTAGCTTACAAAGAAGCATCATTCTTTCCCTCGTTTCTCAGAAAAGGTCATTACAATATTAATTTTAACCAGCCCCACATCTACCATTTAGGTGAACTTAGGTGTCTTAATTTTTCAATTGTTTTTCTAACTTGTGCATTATGCATTTAGGGTGCAGGTTAATGGTATAATTAATATTTGTTTTTTGTATTAATTGGTATTAAAAATGATAAAATTCTATCGTAATTAATGAATACTAAAAATGATAAAACTTGACATTAATTTCATCATTTATATCACATAAATTATTTTAATTAGATAATTAATTAAATAAATGTTAAAATTTATTTTTTAATAACAATTAATGTTAAAAATGTATTTTTAACTTATATCTTAAAAGTATAGATCAAAACTATTTTTTATTATTAATATCTTAAAAGTGCCCCTTAAATTATGTCATAATGGTTAAAAACTTGAATTTTTACATTTAATATTTCAAGTTTAAATCTTAAAATACATAAGAAAAAATTTGAAAATGAAAGTATTATTTCTTATTATATAATTTATCATCATTATCTAATATACTAAAAATAATAATAAATTAGAAGTCAACCGTTTTGTATTATAGAGGTCTACTTAACATTAACTCTAAATTAGTAAATTCCTTAAAACAAACATTAACTTTAAATTCAGTTTTTTAATTTAGCCACTTAATTGGCATGACGGCACTAAATTGACTAAGTTAGTTTAGGTGGAGTATTCTTTATTAATTCTTGTGAATGAAGCACTTTATAATTCTTAGACTAGTCTGTCTAATTAAAAATCGAGACAATGATGTTATCCAAGAAAAGCATAAACAAACAATAACCTAAATTAATTTATGGTTATACACATTATAACCAACGGTGAAGAATAGGCATATTTGGGTACCAATAATTGTAAAATATACATTTTGTAAGTTGTAAAGTGATTTAAAATTATCAATTTATAATTATAATATATTATTAAATAAATATATATTTAATATTATAAATT